TTTACTTTGCATTCTTACTATAGAGTTGATACACAGAAGGCTCACAGTGACATGTGTTAGGTAATCAAACCTGAACACAATTCTTTTTGAACCATATCTCCCCTTCCATCTCTTTCTCCCAGTCTTTTCCTCCAGTCCATACACACAAGATGGCCAGTTCATCTTCCACATAGTGTCTAATGGTTAACACTTGTTCCTCCTTGTTCCAATCTTTATGTGCCCCCCTTACCCTCCCAAATATAAACAAAAGGGGAGGAGACCGAAAAAGAGCTTTGATGGGAAACAAAAAAGTCTTTTGTTTCCTTTTCTTAGAGTTCATTTCATAGCATATGATTTTATATGGCCATATATTACATAGCTATTGAGCCAGCATCCCCTATTCCTATGCTTGTCCTCTCTTGGCCTATGTATGTTAATGTCTATGGTCCTATATAAGTGCGTGTGCACATATATTTATTTACATATTTATATATTTACATATTTTCAGTGTGTTTACTTGTAGATTTCTAGATATATTCCACTTACAGAAAACCAGGGAAAACATGCAAACGATATTTCTTTGGCTCTGGCTTACATTACTTAATCTAATTTTTTTCAAAGTCTTTCCATTGCCTTACGAATGGTAAATTATCATTTTTTCTGACAGATGAATAGAATTCCATTTTGTATATATATACCAAATTTTCTTCTATTTGTCCACTAAGGTTGACATGGGTTGATTTCATATCTTGGCTATGGTAAACAAGGCTGCAATAAACGTGGCTGTTTAAAGCTTGGGGCTTTAGTATGGTCTGGTTTGTGGTCCATTGGATATATGCCCAGGAGTGGCATTGCTGGGACTAAAGGAAGCTCTGTGTTTAGTCTTTTAAGGAACCTCCATACCACTTTCCAGACTAGTTGGACAAGTTTACACTCCCACCAACAGTTTCATAGTATTCCTTTTAGGACTCATCCCTGCCAACTTTTGGTATTGTTAATTTTCCTGATAAAGTCGGCTCTAATTGGAGTGAGGTAGAATCTCAATGTTATTTTGATTTGCACTTGTCTTGTGGCCAGAGATGTTGAACACTTGTTCGTTTGTGTGTCTATTGGCCATTCTTTTTCTTCCTCAGAGAAGTCTCTCTTTAAGTGAGCCTATTTATTGATTGAGTTGTTGAGTTTGGGGAGGTTTCTTTGGAGGGTTAATTTTTTGAGCCATGTCTATATTTTATATATGAGGCATTTGTCTCATGTGTACTGAATGAAGATTTTCTCTCATGCTGTGTGTTATTTACCTTGTTAACTATGTCCCATGCTATGCAGAAATTCTTCAGTTTAATCCAATCTCATTTATCCAGTTATTCTTCAATTTGTTTGATTCTGTATCTTTTAGAAACTCTTGCCTTATTCCAAGAAGGTTTAGGATTTCCCTTATCTCTTCCTGTAATATTTGCATACTACATGGTTTTTAGTCCACCTACACTTGTTCTGGTACTAGGTGATATATGGATATCTAGCTTCAGTTTTCTGCATGTAGCTAACCCAATTTTCCAGCAAATTTGTGTAACAGGATATCTTTCTTCCAAATTGTGTTTTGGGCTCCCTTATCAAATACTAAGGGGTTCTATATTGGTGGGATTGTTTCTGCATCTTCTGTTCCATTGTATTTTTCCTCAGGCCTAGTCTTGTGACACTAATCAGCTATTTTTCTTACTATGGCTTTGGAATATATATGATTCCCAACTTTTGTTAATGCCAAAGTATTTTCTTTTTTCTGAGGCGATTACAAATGATGTTGCTTTTCTGATTTCAGTGTTGTTGGCACACAGGAAGACAACTAATTTTTGTGGGTTGATTTTATACCACATTACTTTGCCAAATGTTTAAGTCAACTCAAATAGCTTAGGTGAGGAATATGTAAGATTCTTTAAATACATGATCATATTGTCTGTAAAGAAGGATAGAATTCCTTTTTCTATTTAGATCCCCTTTATGTGTTCCTCTTCCCTTTTTTTCTCTTGGTAGGAATTCTAGCACTATGCTGAAGACGAATGGAGACAGTGGGAACCTTTGTCTTGTTCCTGATTTCAGGGAGATTGGTTTTAATTTTTCCCCATGAAGTATAATGCTGGCCCTAAATTTGGCATATATAGCCTTCATTATATTGAAGAACCTTCCATGGATTCTGAGTTTTCAGAATAAAGAGGTGTTGACTCATGTCAAATGATTCTTTGCATATGTTGAGATGAACATGTGGTTCATATGCTTGCTTCTGTTGATGTGTTGAATTACATTAATTGACTTGCTTATATTGAACCACGTTTGCAATCCTGGAATGAATCCCATTTGATCATAATATGTAAATTTTTTGATTACTCGATGAACTTGGTTGGCCAGAATTTTGTTGAGAGGTTATCTATCAACATCCATCAAATTGATGTGTCTATAGTTCTCCTTCTTTCGTGGGTTCTTATCTGCTTTTGGAATGAGTGTTATGTTGGCTTCATAGAATGAGTTTGGTAGTGATCTTTCTCCTTCTATTTCATTGAAGAGTTTGAGGAGTATGAGACTGAGTTGCCCTTTGAAGACCATATAGACTTCTGCTGTGATTTCATCTGGTCCTGGGCTTTTCTTGAAGAGGAGGTTCCTTATTGCCATTTCAATGGCTTTATTTCTTATGGATCCATTTGCTTGAGATAAATCTTCTTGGTTCATTTTGGGGATATCAATGCTCTCCAGAGATGCTTCTATTTCTCCCAGATTCCTGAATTGACAGTCATAAAGGTTTCTGAAGTATTCCCTAATAACATTATGAATCTTGCCTATTTCTGTTCTGATGATCTCATTTTCAAGTCTAATTTTATTAATTTTGGTGTTCTTTCTTTCATCAAATTTTCTAAGGAGCTATCAATTTTGTTACATTTTTGAAAGCACCAGCTTTTTGTGTTGTTCATCCTCTCATTTTTTTACCCTCTAATTCCTTTATTTCTGATTCATTTTTTATTATCAACTTTTGTATATTAATTTTAGATTAGCCTTCGTCCTGTTTTTCTCAGACATTGAGTTGCATCACTAAAATGTTCATTTGTGTTTTCTCCAATTTGTTGATCTCAGAACTATAAATTTTCCCGTGTTCTGTCTTAGTATGTCTCAGAAGAGCTGGGGTTTCTTTGTAGTCATTGTTCTTACATTGTGTAATGATTTGGATTTCCCTTCTAATCTCCTCAAGTATCCTTGACTCATTCACTAGTTTGTTGTTTTTTTCTCTATAAGTTAGATTTTTCTCTAACAGCTTTTGGGGTTGAGCTCTAATTTTCATCCAGTGTGGTCTGATAGGATTAAAGGGAGTAAGGACAATATTTTTTTGATTTGCACAGGTTTGCTTTGTGACCTAACATGTGGCCTATTTTGAAGGATTGCCATGGACTGCTGAGAAGAATATATATTCCAATGCTGTTGGGTAAGAGTCTGTAGATGTGTGTTCAATCTACTTGGTCGATTTAGTTTATAGTTCTAAAGTTGCTTTGGTGAATTTTGCCTAGTTAATATACCCAGAGATAAGAGTGATAAGTTGAAGTCTCCAATTATCAATGTGTTTTGACTATGTGTATATTTAAATCAAGTAGTATGTGTTTGATGAAGTTGGGTGCTCCAGCCTTTGAAGATACTTAGAATTGTCATATCTTTTGTATAGTTTGTTATTTGTTTAGTTAGTGTAGTGTAGTGAAGTACAATAATTGCCATATATAGTATATACTATAAAATTCATATAGATATCAAAATATACTATCATTCTATAGTGGTTTCTTTGTAGTCATTGTTCTTACATTGTGTAATGATTTGGATTTCCCTTCTAATCTCCTCAAGTACCCATTGCTCATTCAATACTATGTTGTTCTCTATAAGTTAGATTTTTCTCTGACAGCTTTTCGGGTTGAGCTCTAATTTTCATCCAGTGTCGTCTGATAGGATTAAAGGGGGTAAGGATAATTTTTTTTTAATTTGCACAGGTTTGCTTTGTGACCTAACATGTGGCCTATTATGAAGGATTGCCATGTGCTGCTGAGAAGAATATATATTCTAATGCTGTTGGGTAAGAGTCTGTAGATGTGTATTCAATCTACTTGGTCGATTTAGTTTATAGTTCGAAGGTTGCTTTGGTGAGTTTTGCCTAGTTAATATACCCAGAGATAAGAGTGATAAGCTGAAGTCTCCCATTATCAATATGTTTTGACTATGTGTATATTTAAATCAAGTAGTATGTGTTTGATGAAGTTGGGTGCTCCAGCCTTTGAAGATATTTCAAATTGTCATATCTTTTATATAGTTTGTTATTTGTTTAGTTAGTGTAGTACAATCAGTATAATATACACTAAATAATTGCTATATATAGTATATAGTATAAAATTGATATATATATCAAAATATAGTATAATTGTATAGTTCTCTTTATTAGTATGTAATGATCTTGTTTCTCTTTCTTTACTGATTTTAATTTGAAGTCTATTTTAGCATATTAGGATATTAGGATTGGTACTCTATCCTCTTTATTCCAAACTTTCAATTGGAGAATGCTCTGTTAGCAAGTTTTGTCTAGTGTAGGCAACAGATGGACAGATCTTGCTTTTGGATCCAAGTAGTCAGTCTATGTCTTTAATTGGAGAGTTAAGTCCATAAATATTGAGGGTTAGGACTGAGGGGTGTCTGGTAATTACTGCTGTGCTATTTCCAGCTTTAGGGGTTGTGAGTTTTTCCTGTTCTTAAAAATAAGTAAGGATCTCTATTCAGTGTGCCAGAGATCAGGGCTATTCTGCATTGCAGTTTCTATGGGAATTGCCTAAGTTGGGACTCCTTTAGAGGAAGAGCCTTATTTCCAAATTGTAATTTGACTCTTCTTGATACTGGAGCTATATGCAGCTGCTACCAGCAGTGATGCTGTGTGGGAAATGTAATAGGGGAGGTAATAGTTTTTAGCCTTCTTTCCTGTGTAGAGGTGAGTTCTGGTGTTTCCAGGTGCCTCCATGGAGGTATGTGTTCCCTATGTGTGTTGGGATCTGCTGGTGGAAGTTCTCATCAGAGTTTGGGAGTTGTAGTTTGTTGGCACAGGTGCAGATCATGGAGTTGTTTTCCCAGTTGATTCCCTGGCTACATGTAGCATTGGTATCCCCTGGCAGGAGTTTGGGAGAGATTTTGGAGTTGTAGTTTCCTGGCAGAGAGGCAGAGCTAAGTCTCAGGGGACTCCCCTAGTATTGAGTGACAAACAGTATGGGGAAAGAGTTTGGTTTCTTGCCCTCTTCAAATATGCTCCCTCCTCCTTAGGCAGGAGATTCAGTCTGGGCATTTTGGATAACCACAAGGAGCTGGTCCTTCAGGGAGGGTCCCAGATGAGGATTCACAGATTCTGGAGCCTGTTCTGAGCTGGCAAAAGGACTCTTGGTGAGGGGCCTCTGTGTCTGAATGCAGCAATCTCAATCCCCTCTTCATCCCCCCCCCCCCCACACACACACAAGGGTCCTGTGATTTCTCTCTCCTCCACTGTGTTGTGGCAGCTGTAGCAGCCTCTCAGTAGGGGTCCTCAAAGCTGATTTCAGATCTGACCTGTGTTTCCTCTTTGTGTTCCTAAGGTTACTGCAGTGTGGTGTGATTTCTTCAGCATTACACTGGTCTTCTGTTTAAGGTGTGGCATTTCAGGCATGTCCTTCTGAGTCTCCCAGGGCTGCCTGGGGAGGCAAGTAGCCTAGGCTGCAGCTGCTCAGCAGGAGTCTGCATGCTGTTTTGATGTTTTCTGAGTTTGTGTTTCTGCCAGGAGATTTCTTCTTTATTAGAATGAGTCTCTGTGACAGAGGGACCCATCAGCTGCACTGGACATTGACCAAAATGAACTAAGCAACTCAATGGCAGTGATGGGAAGGAGGGAACAAGTGGGAAAGAGGCAACAGCTGATGCTATACAAAACAAAGAAATGTACATATTGCCCAATGTGGAAGAAATAACTGTATCGCAAAGATCATAGACCTCATAAATGTTATAGACTGTAATGGACAATTTGCACCAGGAAAGTTAGAATGTGTTTGTGACTTTAACTGAGTATCACAATCCCACAATACTGTGAAATTTGGGGAATTATGTAACCACTAAATCACAATAAAAATTTGAAAAAAAAAAAAAAAAAAGAATGAGTCTCAGGCTGGGAAGGTAGCTCAGTGGTAGAATGCTTGCCTTGTATGCTAGAGGCCCTGGTTTCGATTCCTCAGCACCACATAAGCAAGGGAAAAGAAGATGGAGGTGGTGCTTTGGCTCGAGTGGTAGAGTGCTAGCCTTGAGCTGAAGAGCTGAGGGACAGCGCCCAGGCCCAGAGTTCAGGCCCCAGGACCAGAGCCAAAAAAAAAAAAATAGAATGAATCTCTGTGTAAACTTTTATTGGAGTGCAGCTCTTAAGGTGACATATGTGCTGGTACGCTAAGTGTCTGTTTCAGCAGATACATAGGGAGTTGACTTGTGATGAAGCACCTTCTTCCCGGAATTGTCAGGTCAGTCTTTGAAGTGCAATCATTAGGGTATTGACTTGAGATTTTCTGTTGTTGATATAAGCATGTACAGCCATGAATTGTCCTAAGAACTGCCTTGTTGTGTGCCACATTTGATATTTTATGTATTCTTTTCCTTTGAATCAAAAAAAAAAATTGAATTTCATTTCTTTTACCTGAAAAACCTACTGAAGACTATGAAATGAATTCTTCAGTTTCCATGAGCAAGTATTTTCTATGATTGGTGTTGCTGTTGCACTCAACATCAAATACAGTGAAAACAGGGATTTTACCATGGGGAAGGGACATACAGAGCATCCAAGAAATCATCTTATAAATATGTTGGAAACAATCGCAAGAAAGAGAAAACATTTGAGTCCTCATCTTGGGGTTCATTTCGCCTAACATCAACTTATCTCACCGTTTCTGCTTCTTTCAGCCATATGCAAGTTATTGTAAATAAGGGAAACCATGGGACCTATGTTTCTTTGGGCCTGGCTTACTTCATTTAGTATAATTTTTTCCAACTCTCTCAATTTCCTAACAAATGGGGCAATGTCATTCTTTCTGATGGAGGCATAGAATTCCATTGTGTATATATACCACATTTTCTTGATCCATTCATCTACTGAGGGGCATCTGGGTTGTTTCCATATCTTAGCTATGGTAAATAATGCTGCAATAAACATAGTAGTGCTGGTAGCTTTAGTATGGTCTTGTTTGTGATCATTTGTATAAATGCCCAAAAGTGGGATTGCTGGGTCATAGGGGAACTTATGTGGAGTCTTTTGAGGAACCTCCATACTAATTTCAAAGTGGTTGAAGAAGCTTACACTCCCACCAACAATGCAGTAGGGTTCCCTTCTGTCCACATCCCCTCCAGCATTGACATACCACCTCAACCTAGTTAGAATGGCTGTAATCAAAAATAATAACAACAGATGCTGGAGGGCATCTGAACAGAAGGGAACCTTACCACATTGTTGGTGGGAATGTAAACTTGTTCAACCACTTTGAAAAGTAGTATGGAGATTCCTCAAAAGACTCCACATAGAGCTCCCCAATGCCCCAGCAATCCCACTTTTTGGCATTTACCCAAATGATCACAAACAATACCATAATAAAACTGCCAGCACAACTATGGTTATTGGAGCACTGTTTACCATAGTGAAGATATAGAACCAACCCCGATGTCCCTCAGATGAATGGATTAAGAAAATGTGCTATATATACACAATGGAATTCTATGCCTCCATCAGAAAGAATGACATTTCCCCATTTGTTAGGAAATGGAAAGACTTGGAAAAAATTATATTAATTAAAGTAAGCTAGGCCCAAAGAAATATAGGTGCATTGTTTTCCCTTATTTGCAATAACTAGTACATATTCTATGAGACAAACAGAAAAGGTCATATAAGATGATGTGAACTAAATTAACCACAAGGTAAGGACACAAGAGGATTTTCATTTCTTGCTATTGCCTCTAACATATTTATAAGGTACCACGTGTTTTTTTGTTGCTTTGTATGTCCCTCCCCCACGGTATAATCCCTGTTTTCACTGTATTTGATGATCATATAATTTGTGGAAAGGAAGGGAAAAACAAATTTTTTCAACCGGGATACAGGTTGAGCCACTGCAACAATGATATGTAGAAGATGCTTACCAAAAAACGAACTTTTCAATTTAGGCGGGGAGTGGAGGGGATTTGTGGAGATGGTAGGGAAGGGATGATATGGAGAAAACAAAGGAGGAGACAACAATGCTTCAAAAGTATTGTACTCATTATCGTGCTCATGTAACTGTAACTTGTCCTCCCTACACTATTCTCACAATAAAAAACTTATTAAAAGTTAAAGTTGGTGACAAAACCACTAGATTTTTTTTCACACAGGTGTAGCTAGTTGCCCTAAGATAAAGGCAACAGAATATTTCCTGTCTCATAAAAATCTATTCCAACAGATTTTGGCTGTAGTGATGGTTTGGTGGGGGGGGGGGGAGAAGCATACTCTCTCTCTCTCTACTTAACTGAGTTTCTGAATCATATTCATGACAAATGCCCTTCATGTCTTCATCTAATTCTCTATACAAGCATAACACATTACATTCATATTCCATTCCATTTGGGGTAATAATTTAAACAATTCATTGGTAAACAAGCAAGTATTTACTATACTAAAGTCATAAGTTTTTAATAATCCTCCTATATGTCTATGCCAATTATGCAGCTTTGTGTTCAAGAACTATCAGTTTGTGTTGGCTTTGGCTTTTGCTATTGAGGAGATCAACAAAAACCCTGATTTTTTAAGTAACTGGACTCTGGGATTTGACGTCTATGATATTCAATTCAGAACTTGGACAATGTTTAAGAATCCCTTCATTTGGTTCTTTGGGAAGTACAAGATTCCAAACTACTCCTGTATGAGAGACAGAAGGTCTATAGCAGTACTTACAGGACCATTAGGACAAAATTGGAACATTACTGGGACTCTACAGATTTCCACAGGTAAGAATGGTGGTGTGAAAAGTTAGAAAAACATCTACTTTGATGTCATTTCAGACATATCAGAGAATGATAGGAGAGACTGGATTTATAAACCTATCAAATTTTGTGGTATCAAAGAATAAGTATATAAAGATATATATAGATATATATCTACTGTTTGGAAAAGGATATGGAAAAGTTACAAAAGACAAGTAGATAATTTATTGTTGCAATCCTATCAATAATCTCCTATGAAAGAATGAGTAAATGTAAAATTAATTGGCAGTTTGAATATATTAAGCAGAGTACGAATGGTCCACACCAGTAATTCTAGCAATTCAGGAAACTTCTATCAAGAATTGACCAGCAACAAGCTGGTAGACCAAAAAGTTGGCTCAAGTGGTAGACAGTCTTGAGAGAAAAATCCAACAAAGTGCATGAGGACATGAGTTTGTGCCCCTCTACTGGAATGTATGTGCACAATCATACACACACATAAACACACACACAAACACACACACACAAGATATTATGTTAAATGAACTAAGTTAGGCTCAGCTTGAGATGGGGAATGTGTTCTCTCGTATGAGACAGCTAGATCTAAAATATAAACATGTATCACACACATAGCTTCATGTGTGTGTGTGTGTGTATGTGTGTGTGTGTGTGTAACCAACCTGACTAAAGCATGGTATATACACAGGTGGAGCTCAATGCTATGACTTTTCTTATCTAATGACAGTACAAAAATAAACACCATAAACCTGAAGCATAACTGAGAAGGGTAAGTGTTGAGGGAAAACATGAGAGGAATAGGGAATAAAGGTGATGGAATACACAGAACACTCACTGTACATATGTGAAAATGGAATTAGGGAGTGGGTGGGGTTGATATTGATGGGAGGAGTTTATGGAAATAGTGACAAAGATCAAGAGACATTATACAATTTATATGTTATACAACTCCTCAAAAACAATTAAAACATTTTTTCAAAAACTAAAATGAAATCTACCTTCCACCTACTTCAACTGCTTCTTCACATACATCAAGACTCAAATTTTGATGGATGGCAATACTCTAATTCATAAAGCATCCAATTTCCTTTCCCTTTAGCTTACCTTTGGGCCTTTTTCTCATGCCCTGAGTGACCATCAAAAGTTTCCTGCTCTCTATCAGATGGCTCCAAAGGACAGATCCATAGCCACTGCCATGGTCTCCTTACTGCTTCACTTCAGCTGGAAATGGGTGGGACTATTGAACTTAGAGGATGAGAATGCTTTGTTGTCTCTTGCTGAATTGAAAGAATAGATGGCCAAGAACAGAGTTTGTATAGCCTACGAGCTAGTGATCTCAAGGCAATCAATATCACATATACTCAAAGCCATGGCAGTTTATAATGATATGAATAAATCTTCAGCAAATGTCCACATCATACATGGTGATAATGGTTCACTAATACCTTTAATCGTGAGCATTGAGCAACTTTTAATAAAAGGCAAAGTTTGTATCATGAACTCACAGTGGGATTTCACCATGAAAAGGAAATATTTCATGGTAGGCTCATTGCATGTACCTCTCATTTTTTACACCATCATGAAGATGTTTCTGGATTCATAGATTTTGTCAAGGCAGTTAATCCTTCCAAATACCCAGAAGACATTTTTCTTGCTAGGATCTGGTTTCTGTCTTTTAATTGCTCAAATCCTCAGTCTGACTGTGTGACATGGGACAACTGTCCCCATGATGCCTCTTTGGATTGGTTGCCTGGACGTGTTTTTGACATGACTATATCTGGACACTGTTACAATATATACAATGCTGTGTATGCTGTGGCCAAGGCTCTCCATGAGATGCTTCTTCATCAGACAGAAGTTCAAATAATGGGAAATAGAAAAGGGACACTGCCTTCCCCTGCACAGGTAATTTCATCTATGTGGATGGCACATACTATGAGCAGAGGAACTTCCTAGAAGGTGTGTTATTCTCTGAAATTGAATGTTTCAGGTATTTTTGCAAGTCTCAAACTTTTCAGCCCAGTCCAGTTTAAATTGTCATACTCATATCTCAGCCTCTGGAGTAACTGGGATGACAGGTGTGAGTAGCCAGTAATCAGCTTATAAATTAATTTACTTATAAATAACCACAACGTGCCCATAGCAAATCTTTTGAAAACTAAATAAGGATTTTCTCTATACATTTCTTCAGGAATACCAAAGGATGGCATGCTCAACAGAATTTTCCATATTTTTCATATGGGATCTAGTTTCCCTCAACTTTGGTAATAAAAATGGAACATTCTCAAACTATAGACATTAGTAAAAATAGAGTTTCTGATAAACTTTAGCTGTGCAAATGAGAATTGTCTCATTCGTGGCTATATAGTGTAGGTTTCTCTTGAACAAAGGCTTGTACTCCTTTTCTGAGTAACCAGGATTCGGAAAATTATTTTTATTCCTCATTACATTGTTTAGACAGATACTTCAATCATTCTCAGTGCTATTCTTGAATTCAGAATTGCCTTTAGGTAATGAGTAGCATTTCTTAATTCACATTTTGTGTCTTACCATTGGAATGTACTTCACAATAATATGATGTCTCTCTTCAGTTGCTCCATTTTCTAAAGAACATCCAGTTTCACAATTCTGTTGGACATCAAGTGATTTTGGATGAAAAAAGGAAATTGGAGCCAGACTATGACATTCTGAATATTTGGAATTTTCCAGAAGGTCTTGAATTTGAGGTGAGAGTAGGAAAGTTTTCTCCCAATGCTTTACATGGTAATCAACTCTCTTTATCTGAAGATATGGTAGAGTGGACCACTGGAAATACAGAGGTGAGTTGGGTCTAATCCTAATAATTTTATCAACACACAAATAAACAAAAGTCACCCTTTACATTTATACTTGACTGAGTGTCAGCAACTTTCTCCCATAAGCCTACCTACTCAGATAGTTGAGATCTGAGTATCATGATCTAAAAGTCAGCTCAAACAAGGTCTGTGAGACAGTTATCGCCAATTAACCAACAAAAATCTGGAAGTTGAGCTGTGACTGAGTAATGCAATAATAACTTTCAGCAAAAAATTCTCAAGGCCAGTGCCTAGACATTGGATTCAAGCCCAGGATGGGAACTAAAAGTATTACATGTGTTCCTAATTTTTGATTCAGAATATTGTCAGGCTATAGTTTCCTATTTCCTACACTGGGATAAAGTACCTGACACAAATTTATGGGCTCAGAAGCTTTATTGGGTTCCATTATGTAGAAGTTTCATTCAATGGTTAGCTGATCTGCCTTTTAGGCATCTTTGGTGAAAGGAATGACTGAATATGCCATTATGAAGATTCATTCTTCATGACCACTGGAAACCTAAGAGGAAAATATGATGGGCCTATAAAAGGGAGGTCATCCACCAGGCTTTTCCCCTTGTCGCAGATAAGTAGGAGACAACATATAATGACATGAGTTTAAGAAAATTCTGTAGGGTTATAAACGAGGACTCATTTCCTCACCACAGGGTTCACCCTTTCAAAGATCCCATACTGTTATACAGTTCAACAGGCTAGCACAAAAGTCTTTAGAAATCATGGGATATGGAGTCTATAACACAATTCAATTTATCGACTGCACTTAGCTACATAGCAACATTATGCTGAATAACCAATTCTTTCCAACAATGGGTTTTTGGAGTTTTAGCTATGAAAGTTTGAAGAGTTATGGACAGATACTTGATTTTCCTCAGACTCCTTGCTCTGTCTGCAGTGAGCCTTGTGGTCCTGGATTTAGGAAATCTCCTCAGGAAGGAAAGGCTGCCTGTTGCTTTAATTGTACCCCTTGCCCACAGAATGAGATTGCTAATATGACAGGTAAGTCTGAGACTCTCCTCAGTTTTCCTCAACCAAACAAATCAATGCAAAACTTGTACATTGTGATTGCAGACCCCTTTTTCCTTTTCTCTGTTAATAATTTAATTTTGAGGGGCTGGGAAGGTTGCTCGGTGGTAGTGTGCTTGATTTGCAGGCATGAGGCCCTGTGTTTGATTCCTCAGCACCACATGAGCAGAACAAAAGCCAGAAGTGGTGCTGTGGCTCAAGCGATAGAGCACTAGCCTTGAGCTGAAGAGCTGAGGGACAGTGCCCAGGCCCAGAGGTCAGACCACACAACTGGCCAAAAAATAGTAATAAAAATAATAATAATAATAATAATAATAATTTGACAAGTGGTGGAACTGTTAGGTGAAATGTGATAGGTCATGAGCTTGAATTGCATATGTCAGTAATATTTTCTACTCTATTGCAGCAGGCAAACTTAGCTCCAGAAATCCCACTTATCACTCAGAGTTGAGACAAGTATAAACCCTAAGATGAAAGTAAACATGTCTTATTGGACATTGCTCACCTTTTTATTCAGACAGGAAACATAGACCTTGCACATCTTTATTTCTCTCTGCCCTGCACTGTTCATGGCACAGAGAAAGTACTCGTGAAGGTGGACTTTTTTTTTTGGTCCGGTCTTGGGGCCTGAACTCTGGGCCTGGGCGCTGTCCCTCAGCTCTTCAGCTCAAGGCTAGCACTCTACCACTTGAGCCACAGTGGCACTTCTGGCTGTTTCCTTTTTGCTTATGTGGTGCTGAGGAATCCAACCCAGGGCCTCAGGCATGCAAGGCAAGTGCTCTTCCACTGAGCCACCTTCCCAGCCCCTCAAAAAGGTGGATTGACTTTAAGAAGTGAGCATGACTATAAAGGGACCAAGAAGGTTTTCTCTCTTGCTATTGCTTCACATATGAGTTGGAGAGAAAAATAGGATGAGATGAATTCAAGAATGTCCAATTGGGATAAAATTAAAAATAAAATTATAAAAGTAAAAAAATTATAAAAATATTTATAAAAATTATAAAAATAAAAAATAAAATTACAAAGACATGTGATTAAGTGTCACCCATAGTATTTATTGTGGTTTGCACGAACAGTTAATAAATGTTAAGCCGTGTAGGAAATTGTTGTTAGGACATGAGAATGACCCAAAGTGCTCATTATCAATACATTTGATAATGACTGAAAGAAAAATGAGTTGGATGAAAAAATCTGAATAAACAAGTAGATGGAAATGGGAGGAGGTTATGATTTAGAAAAGATATAAATGTGCATTAATATTTACTAATGACATGTTATCATTACATCTAAGGGAATAATTTCCTAATTTCTTTGAAGTAAAAGAAGTTCAAAATAAGAACTAATGATAGCTTACACTCTTTATCAGAGATGGAGCACTGTGTGAAATGTGCAGATCATCAGTATGCCAACACACAGAGAAATCAGTGCCTCCTGAGAGATGAAAGTTTCCTGGCTTTTGGAGATCCTTTGGGCATGGCTCTGGCCTGCCTGGCTCTCTGCTTCTCGATTCTAACTGCTGCTGTTTTGGGGATATTTGTGAAACACCGAGACACTGCCATTGTCAAGGCCAATAACCGGACTCTCAGCTACATCTTGCTCATCTCCCTCATCTTCTGTTTCCTCTGTTCCTTGTTCTTCATTGGCCGTCCCAACACAGTCACCTGCATCCTGCAGCAGATCACATTTGGACTTGTCTTCACTGTGGCTGTTTCCACAGTGTTGGCCAAAACAGTGATTGTGGTCCTGGCCTTCAAGTCCATTTCTCCAGGGAGAAGGATGAGGGAGTTGCTGGTATCAGGGGCTCCTAACCTCATCATCCCCATCTGTACTCTCATCCAGGTGACCCTCTGTGGACTTTGGCTGGGAACCTCTCCTCCCTTTGTGGACACAGATGCACACTCTGAACATGGCCACATCATCATCCTGTGCAACAAGGGCTCCCTCACTGCGTTCTATTGTGTCCTGGGATACCTGGGCTCCCTGGCCCTGGCCAGCTTCACTGTAGCTTTTCTGGCCAGGAACCTGCCTGACACCTTCAACGAAGCTAAATTCCTGACCTTCAGCATGCTGGTGTTCTGCAGTGTGTGGCTCTCCTTCCTGCCTGTCTATCACAGTGCCAAAGGGAAGGTCATGGTGGCTGTGGAGGTCTTCTCCATCTTGGCCTCAGGTGCAGGGCTCCTAGGCTGCATTTTTGTCCCCAAAGGTTACAATATATTGTTAATGCCCAATAGAAATTCTCTGCATGGCTTTAGGAAAAAACGTCCACATAGCAGGAAAAATTAGCTTTCTTATGAAGAATCTCCTATGTTTGATTACGATACAGAAGGTGTGATCTAAATCTAGAATCATTTTCCATTGTTTTATTATATTGTAATGTGGATTTTAACTTCAAGAGTAAGGGTCTTTTGCTCATTTTTCTTTTTATTTCATTTTTTATTGCACAGAGGGGTTACAGTTGCATGAATAGGGTAATGAACACATTTCATAGCAAGTGTTGTTACCTCCTCCTTTATTTTCCCCCTACCAAAACTTCCCTCCCTGCTTCCACAACTCATCCCGCCACCCCCTCCCTGACATTGTAACATTCATTTTCAATATAGGGTCCTGTACATCTCGTCCTCATAATGGGTCAGCCTGCATCCCCATTTAAGCATTCTGCAATATCTCTTCCACTCCCCAAATTACAAAAATGTATATACAAGGTGCAGAATACCAGCAACAAATCCAGTGAAAACAGGGGTTATACCATAGGGGGAAAACATACAATAAATAGAAAGAAAAGGACCACATAGTGCATTGTAACTACATTAAAAACACTAGCATGTAAGGAAAAAAAAACTCTTCTGTCCCTGTCTTGGGGTTTATTTTGCTTAACATTATCTCATGTGGTTGTATGTACATACTTTTGACTTTGTCTGCTTGTCCTAGACATGTACTAGTTACTGTAAACAAGGGAAACCAGGTGACCTATGTTTCTTTGGGCCTGGCTTCCTTCACTGAATATAATTTTTTCCAAGTCTTTCCATTTCCTAACAAAAGAGGCAATATCATTCTTTCTGATGGAGGCATAGAATTCATATTTTTTTTCTTGATTCATTCATCTACTGTGCCCATATGGATTGGGTCCATATCTTAGCTACGGTAAATAATGCTGTAATGAGTATGCTTGTGCTGGTAGCTTTGGTATGACTTTCTTTACAAATTTTTGGGTAAATGCCCAAAAATGGGTACTTGGTCATGTGGAATCTTTTGAGGAACCTCCATGCTGCTTTCCAAAGTCATTTAACATGTTTACACTCCCACCAACAACGCAGTAGGGTTCCCATTTGGCCACATCAACTCTAGCATCTGTTGTTACAGGATTTCTTGACTATAGCCATTCTAGCTGGGGTGAGGTGGAATCTCAATGTTATCTTGGTTTGCATTTCTATTATGGCTAGAGAGGTCGAGCATTTCTTCATTTGTCTATTGATCATTCTCATTTCCTCCTCATAGAAGACTCTCTTTCAGTGTAGCCCATGTGTTAATAGTGCAGTTGTTACTTTGAGGATTTGTTGTTGGGAAATTGAGTTTTTGGAATTCTAAGTATATTTTAGATATGAGATGCTTGTCTGTTTTATGGCTACTAAAGAGCTTCTCCAAGTCTGTGGGCTTTCTGTTTATCTTGCTAGCTATGTCCTTTGTCATGCAGAAGCTCTGCAGTTTCATGCATTCTCATTGGTCCAAACTTTCTTTGATTTGTTCTACTTCTGGGTCTCTATTAAGAAAATTTAGGCCTGTGCCAAGGAGCCCTAGAATTTCTCCTATTCCTTCCTGTAATGTTTTCATGGAGTCTGCTTTTATTTCAAGGTCTTTCATCCATTTGGAGTTGATTCTGGGTAAGGTGATATATACGGATCCAGTTTTAGTTTTCTGCAAGTGTTTCACCAGTTTTACCAGCACCATTTACTGAAAAGACTGTCTTTCTTCTATTCTATTTCTTTAGCTCTCTTGTCAAAGATTAGGTGGCTATAGGTCTGTGGGTTCATTTCTGGGTCTTCAGTCCTATGCCATTATCCCTCAGGTCTGTTCTTGTGTCAGTACCAAGCTGTTTTGATTACTAGGGCTTTGTAGTTGAGTTTGAAATTTGGAATTGATATTCCTCCAGCACTGTTCTTTTTACTAAAGATTGTTTTTGCTATCTGTAGTTTTATTGTTCCATATGAATTTGTGGATTGCTTCTTCTATTTCATTACATAATGAGGTTGGAGTACTGATAGGTATCACATTGAATTTGTAGATAGCCGTTATCGGTATTGTCATTTTCTCAAAGTTAATCCTCCCAATCTGGGAGCATGGGGGAGAGAGGTGTTTCCACATGCTTAGTTCTGTTTTAATTTCCTTTGTCAGATTTTTAAAGTTTTCATCATACAGGTCCTTCATCTATTTTGTTAAGTTAACTGCTAAGTATTTTATTTTTTGTGGGGCTATTACAAAAAGGGTTGCTTTCTAATTTCAGCCGCACTCTTCTCATTATTGGCATACAGGAAAGCCATTGAGTTTTGAGGGTTAATTTTATCCCGTGCTATTTTGCCAAAGTTTCTGATCAGCTCAAGTAACTTGGGAGTGGAGTCCATGGTGTTCTTTAAATACAAGATCATGTCATCTGCAAAGAGGGAGAGTTTTACTTCATCCTTCCCTATTTGGATTCCCTTTATGTCTGCATCTTGTCTTATTGCTGTAGTTAGGCATTCTAATACTAGGTTGAAGAGGAGCTGAGAGAGTGGACACTCTCATCTCTTTCCTGAACTTAGATGAAATGGCTTTAACTTTTCATCATTAAGTATAATTCTGGCTGTAGGTTTGTCATATACAGCCTTTATTGTATTGAGGAATGTTCCATGGATTCCTAGATTTTCCAAAACCTTTATCATAAAGGGGTATTGGATCTTGTGAAATGCTTTTCCTACATCTATTGAGATAACTCTGTGGTTTTTATCCTTGCTCTTGTTGGTGTGATGAATTATATTATTTGTTTTGCATATATTGAACATGCTTTGCATCCCTGAAATGAATCCTGTTTGATCATGGTGCTCAATTCTTTTGATGAGTTTTTTTTTTTTTTTGGTTCCGGTCATGGGGCCTGAACTCTGGGCCTCGGCGCTGTTCCTCACCTCTTTAGCTCAAGGCTAGTGCTCTACCACTTGAGCCACAGCGCCACTTCCGGCTTTTTACCTTTTTGCTTATGTGGTACTGAGGAATCGAACCCAGGGCCTCAAGCATGCAAGGCAAGCGCTCTACCACTAAGCCACCTTCCCAACCCTTTTGATGAGTTTTTGAAGTCGATTAGCCAACATTTTTTTTTGAGAAGTTTTGAAAGATATTGAACAAAAAAAATGTGTCTATGGTTCACGTTCTTTAATGAGTCCCTCCCTCGTTTTGGGATGAGAGTTATGCTGGTTTTGTAAAAAGAATGTGGTAGTGAATTTTTGATTTCCTATTTATTAAAGAGAAGGAGGAGTATTGTTGTAAGTTCTGCTTTAAACACCTTGTAAAATTCAGCTATACATCCATTAGTTCCTGGACTTTTGTTGGCTGGGAGCTTTTTTATTTCTGCTTCTATTTTGATGCTTGATACGGGTGTGTTGTTTTAAATCATCTTACTTTAGGGCATGTCAATATTTGCTACAAATTTATCCATATCTTTCAGATTCTCAAATTTATTAGCATAAATGTTTGAGAAGTATCCCCTTATTATATTCTAAATCTTGGCTGTTTCTGTAGTGATGTTTCCACTGTCATCTCTGAGTTTCATTATTTGGGTGTGTTCTCTTCTTTTTCTGGTAAGATTTGCTAAGGGTCTGTCAATTTTATTCATTTTACAAAGAACAAACTCTTTGTCTTTTTCATTTTTTCTCTTGGTTTTGGTACTCTAATTGATTTACTTTGGATTTAATTTTAATTATGGGTGTCCATCTAGTTGATTGGGGTACAATTTATTGTTTTTTTTTCTTTTTTGGTGGCCAGTTATGGGGCTTGGGCACTGTCCCTCACCTCTTCAGCTCAAGGATAGTGCTCTACCACTTGAGCCACAGTGCCACTTTTCGCTTTTTTCTTTTTGCTTATGTGGTGCTGAGGAATTGAACCCAGGGCCTCATGCATGCAAGGCAAGCGCTATCACAGTGAGCCACCTTCCCTGCCCTTGTTGTTCTTTTTCAAGGAGCTTTAGGTGCTTCATTAAATTGTTCATTTCAGGTTGTTCCAATTTGTTGATATAGGAACTCAGAGCTATAACCCTGCCTCTGAGTACTGCCTTTGCTGGTTCCCAGAGGAGCTGGAAATTTGTGTGATCATTTTGTTGAACATCATGAACATATGAATTTCCTTTCTAATCTCTTCCATGCCCCACTTGAGATTCAACAGTGGGTTGTTAAGCTTCTATGTGTTATAAGATTTCCTTTGGGGGCTTCTGGTGTTGAATTCTAATTTAATTCCCTTGTGGTTTTGGAGAATGCAGGGTATAATGAAAGAATTTTTATGAGGGCCTGCTGTTTAACAAATGAACATTACTTGGGGGAGCAGCAGAGCGGCTCAGCTCACTCGTGCCCAAGAAGCTGCCCCTTCCTGGGGTCATGATGGGCAGCAAGATGGCATCTGCCAGCAGGGTTGTTCAGGTAGTCAAGCCACATGCTCCATTAATAAGACTTCCTAACAGAAGAGACAATCCTAAACTCAGTGCATCGGAAGCTTTGCGGTCTGCAGGGCTCCTACCTCACTCTTCTTTGGTCTCCCAGCATGCTAAAGGAAGTAAATCACCAGATGTGATGCATCAGGTTCCACCAGACACTGCAGCAATATTAAAAACATTACCTCAGAAATACAGAAGGAAACATATCTCAAGTAGAAATGGAATTTATCCAATGTGGTGGTCCAGAATAATTACTGAGGCTGCTGTCTATCATCAAAGAATTATCTTAATAATAAAGGACTTCCAAAATGAAAAGTACAAAACTGTATATTAAACAACCTTAATAAATATCCTGAGAAAATGAAATATAGAAAATATAGATGAATACTTGTATCTCCTAATTTATATAATCTTGGTCAGCTTCTCCACAAGTGTACCAAGTTGTTTATGTATTCTATACTTATTGAAGTATACATTTTTAAATGTTAGTTTATTAATTTGCTCTTGATTATCAAGTATTACTAGTGATGAACTATTACAAGCACATATATCTCGTAAACCATCAAAAAAAACAATAAATGAAGATGTAAGTACACTATATTTCCAACTTCCTCCC